CAATTCTTCTACAGTCTTCCTTATTCACATGCATATGAGGTTATTGAAAATACCATGGCTTGGGTCAGGTGGACATTAGTCCTCAAGCTGACATCTTTGCTCTTCAACACTTGAAAAAGTTCTTGTGCAGCAGATTTGCCTAATGCAACACGTCATTTGATCTCTTGACTGCTGCTTCCGTGAGTGTTGATAGTTGATCCAAGAAGAATGAAGTCTTTGACAACTTCATTCTTTTCTCCGTTGATAAGAATGTTGTTTATTGTCCAGTGGTGAGGATGTTTGTTTTCTTGACATTGAGATGTAATCCATACCGAAGGCTGTGCTCTTTGATCTTCATCAGTAAATGTTTTAAATCTCCTTCACTTTCAGCAAGCAAGGCTGTATCATCTGCATATTGCAGGTTGTTAATGAGTCTACCTCCAACCCTGATGCCACGTTTTTCTTCATAGAACCCAGCTTCTCGGACTCCAGGAAAATGCATATTTATGCTCACAGACAAAATGTTTCAAGAGGTGCAAGACTCTCACAAAGTCTAATCTTGGATATATTTGCCAAGTTAGGAAGTCATGCTCAAGATCAGTGGTTGCAAACTGAAAACTCACATGGGTTGAATTTTACCTACAAACGTGGTCTGTGCCTTAAATTTTGTCACTGTGAATACCTCTAACAGGGCAAAAGTTCTTCAGTATACTGCAGTTCTTAGCTATACTCTTTGGTCTTAATCTCAACCAGCATTACTTTTCTGAATTGTTTGTCTGACCTCTTTTGGTCTTTCAATTTGTGAGCCTGATTTTCGGAACCTACACCGTGATAGACTGGGTCATTCCACATTCATGCTAATAACTTTCTAGCAGGCCTTCTAGTTCTAAGGAGGCTGGCAAGATAAAAACCATATATCCCTCCCTACCTTCTTTGTAGTTAGGAATCTACACATGACCTAGGTTCCATCAAGCAGATAAATAAGGGACTTGGAAAACAGATAAGAGCAACATGAGGTGGCCGCCATAAGTAAAAGAACTGTATTTTCTATGAGCTAGATGGCACAAGTTGTCCTGGGGCAGCTATTGCAAAGATTACAGGTCTCGTCCAGAAGTCAGCAAACTAAGATCAGTGGGTCGAATCCAGCCTGTTTTTATAAGTTTTCTTGAAACATGTTTACTTACATGTTAGCCGTTGCTGCTTCTGAGCTACAATGGCAGCGCTGAGTAGCTGTGACAGACATCATCTGGCCACAAAATTAAAGCTATTTACAACCTGGATCTTTACAGAAAAGGTTTCCTGATTCTTGGTCTAGTCCCTAGATGTGAAGTGGCGGGTGGCAGCTGCAGTAAAGTATGGTTTTCACACTGTGGAGTTTCTGGTTATGTAACATTCAAGCTTGGTTCTCTGGCCCTTCTATAAATTTTATAAAGTACCTAATACTGTGCAATAAATCTCTTTCTGCTGAAAATAACTAGAGTCATTTCTATAGCTGCAACTTAGAATCTTGAGTGAAACACAGAGTAACAAAAGACAAAGAATTATAAAGTTAAAAATTCTACTTACAGTATGTATCATCTCGAAGTACTTCTGACAGGCTACCTGGTAATGTGTCCCTTTTACTAAATCCATAATCTAAAATAAATTAGTAAAAAGAGAAAGGAAAAATTAATAATTAAGTGTCTTCCAAACTACCACAGCTCACAATTGTTGGCTTTTTCATCATCTTCATTCCAGACAAGAAATTCATTAAATCATGTAGCAGGTTATATTTCCGTAGCCTGGACATTGTGATAATTTTAATATTATACAGCAGCTGTTTAGGTCAGCATTAAACTACAGATGACAAGAGATAGTAAGTGATCTTTCTGACCTATCAACTGTGAATTTCAATAACTTTAACTCAACAACAAGATGAAAATAGATTCCAGTATTATGACTTTGACAGTTATTGTCAGAACATCATATTGCCACATCTCTTCCAAAATTATGGATATATATCTAGTAATCTAAGTGGTTGGTGCATGAAGCAATCACGTCCACTATTTAGATTTTTATTTTCTACATTACCAGCTTATACACATACAGCATAAAATACTGCTGTGTGCCCATCAGGGAAATTTAATGCAAGCCCTTTAGACGAGTATGTGTGCAGACGGAATGCTTTTACCTCCGATCAGATTTGTCCTTTTTGGAAATGATGTTATTTCTAGTAAAACTCAGCAGAATATGAGAGAATAGTCTATTCTGAACACCTATTAGGAACATCATCCTATCTTTTGTAAATACAATTTGATTTCCATTTCTACTTCATGTAATCTCTTCAGAGCAGTGCAAACTCCCATTCTTATCAATAGAGTTCAATGCCAGTTTAAATTTGTAGTTTCCTTACCTTTCCCCTTCAAAATAAATAAAATATATATTTGGCTTATTTATAAAACACAGTAAAATGCTGGAATTAAGAGATAACCTTAAATGGAGGGGATCACAATTCCGGAGAAATGTTCATTTCTATCCCTTTCTAAAAGAAAGACATTCTTGTGACAGAAATATACATGAAGTCTCAAATTCCTGCTGTCCTCATTATTGAATATAATAACCTTACATCTTTTGACAGATGTACAAATAAATTACAGTTATAGAATGGACATCATAAAATACAATAAGAATGTGCTTAAAATAAATGCTTTTCTGATTGTCTGACAGATTAAATATATATGTATTCCATTTCACATTTTGTTAAATCCTATATGACCTGTAATATGCCAGTCAATTACAGCATTCAGCATCCTATACCTTTTCTTGAATTATAGCAGGAAAAAAAAATAAACAGAAACAAAGAGTCAATTAAAAGGAATGACTGAATGAGGAAAAATAAAGAAAATAAGTTTTCTGTATAATAATTTTGAGCTCATATACTTTGTCACTTTTACAAATAGATATCCAAATTGCATTGAGATGAGCTTCATAATAGCTACTGGCAAACATCAATGATAACAATATATTAATATCTGTGAATTACAATTTTGGAAAAGAGTTCAAATATAAATTTAAACTTAAATTGATGTTATAAATTATCTGAAAAGAAAATGAATTCATACAGACACAAAAGCTTAACTGTATGGTATATAATAAATTTTCTTTATGCAAAAATAAAACATACTATTCTACACATATAAATTTCTTCTTCTATATACATAAAATCTGAAATAAAATGCTAAAACTAATTCAGACATAGTTACAGTAGCACATTGACAGAGAACTGCCAGAAATTTAAGCCAGACTTAGAAAAGGATGTGGAAAAAGGATATTATTGCTGATGTCAGATGGATCTTGATTGAAAACAGAGAAAACCAGAAAGATGGTTACACATGTGTTACTGACTATACAAAGGCATTCATTCATTCAACTGTGTGGCTCATAATAGATTATGGATAACATTGTAAAGAATGGGAAATCTAGACTAGTTCATTGTGCTGATTCAGAACCTTATATACAGATTCAGAGACAGTAGTTCACACAGAAAAAGAGGCTACTGTGTGGTTTAAAATCAGGAAAGGTGTACATCGATGTTGTAGACTTTCATTATCTATATTTAGGCTGTATGCTAACCAAACAATCTGAAAAGCTGGACTATATGAAGAAGAATGCAGCATCAGGATTGGAAAAAGAATCATTAATAATGTGAGCTATGCAGATGACACAACCTTGCTAGCAGAAAGTGACGAGGACCTGAAGCACTTACTGATGAATATCAGACTACAATTTTTAGTATGAATTACACCTCAACTTAAAGCAAAAATCCCTACAGCTAGACTGATAAGTAACATCATTATAAAGATTGAAGTTTTTAAGGATTTCATTTTACTTGGATCTACAAACAACACCCACAGAAGCAGCAATCAAGAAATCAAAAACACACTATATTGGGCAAATCTGTTGCAAATAATCTTTTTAAAGTGTTAAAAGAAAAAGATGTTACCTTAAAGACTAAGGTGAGTCTTACCCAAGCCAAGGTATCTTTAATGATCTCATACTATGCATAAGAATATGAATTGCTATTGTTGTTAAGTGCCTTTGAGTCAGTTCCAACTCATAACAACCCTGAATATGGTTTCCAAGGAGCAGATGGTGGGTTTGAAAAGCTGACCTTGAAGTTAGCAGTCCAGTGTTTATCTAACTGTGCCATGCCAGGACTCCAGATAATGAATAAGGAAGACCAAATACAAATTGATGCTTTTGAAAAAATTAAGGTGTTGATGAAGAATATTAAATATCCCATGAACAGTAAGAAGAACAAACAAATCTGTCTTGAAGAAGTACAGCCAGAATGCTCCTTAGAAGCAACAATGGTAAGAATTCCTTGACAAAGGGGGAGCTTGAGAAACAAAGTGTCATGAAGAAATGTGCAGACACCAGGAGCTTAGAAAACCAAAAATGAAGAACACACTGGACATTTCACTAGAAATAATTGAAGAAAAATATCAAACCTGGATTCTATGGGGAAAATAATGAATGGTACAGTAAGCATCATAAGGTGATGGAAAGAATACAGAGTCACTATTCCAAAAGGAATCGGTTGATGTTCAACCATTATAGGAGGTAGCATATAAGCAGAAATTGATGGTAACAGATGAAAAACAATGCTCCAGAAACTGGCAAAAGAACAACTGAAATGTTTCAACACATTGATGAAGCACTGGAAGCACTCACTAATCTATGCCAATGTAACCAACTTACTACGTTGTTGTTGTTGTTGTAAGTACCGTCAAGTCGATTCTGACCCATAGCAACCCTGTATAGGGTTTCCAAGAAGCAGCTGGTGAGCTTGAACCACCGACCTTGCAGTTCAAATGACTTTACAGTCTGACACATTAGCCCACAGTACCACACCAGGACTCCAACTTTACTATAAGAGATCGATATTTGTACCCATTCCAAAGAAAGGTGATTTAAAAGAATGCAGAAATTACTGAACAACTTCATTAACATCACATTCAAGTTAAATTTTGCTGAGTATAATTTAAAAATGGTTGCAGCACGGAACAGCCAGAAAGACTCAGAAGAGGATATGGAACAGGAATATCACTGTTGATAACAGATGAATCTTGACTGACGGCAGAAAATACTAGCAAGATGTGTACCTGTTTTATTGACTATGAAGTATCACATTGACTATGTATATCACAACAAATTATGGATAGCATTGGGAAGAATGGGAATTCCAGAATATGTAACTGTGCTCATGGGGAACCTATACACAGACCAAGAGACAGTCATTTGGCCAGAACAAGGGGACACTGCATGGTTTATAATCAAGAAAGGTGTTCATCAGGATTGTATCATTTCATTGTATGTATTCAATCTGCATACTGAACAAATAATCTGAAAAGCTGGACTATATGAAGAAGAAGGTGACATCAAGATTAGAGGCTAGCTCATTTATAACCTGCGATATGCAGATGAGAAAACCTTGCTTACTGAAAGTGAAGAAGACTTGAAGCATTTACTGAAGAAGATCAAAGATTACAGTCTTTGGATTACACCTTCATATAAAGTAAACAAAAGTCTTCACAACTAGGTCAATAAGCAACATCATGATAGAGAAAGATGGAAGTTGGCAAGGATTTCATTCTATTTGGATTTGCAATCAATGTCCATGGAAGCAGCAGTTAAGAAACCAAACCAGGTAATTACTTGTGCAAATCTTTTGCAAAAGAACTCTTTCAAATGTTAAAAAGGAAAGATGTCACTATGGTGCATCTGACGTAAGCATGGTATTTTCAATTGCCTTAAATGCTTGGAAAATCTGGACAATGAATAAAGAAGATCAATGATGAATTGGTGCCTGTGACTTCTGATGCTGGCAAAGAATATTAAATATACCATAGACTGCCAAAAGAATGAACAAATCAGTTTTAGAAGAATTGTCAAAATGCTCTTTAGAAACAAGTATGGTAAGAGCTCGTGCATCTCATATACTTTGGGTATGTTATCAGGAGGGACTAGACCCTGGAGAATGACATTATATTTGGTAAAGTTGAGGATCTGAGAACAAGGCGCCCCTCAAAGAGAAGCCCTGACTGGCTGCAACAGTGAGCTCAAACAGGAACAATGGTGAGGAAGGTGCAGGACCAGGCAGGGTTTCATTCTGTTGTAGATAGGGTTGCTATGACTTGGAACCAACTGGCCAGCACCTAACAACAACTAGTTATCTAGTGCTATTATATCAGAAATACCAGAAAGGGATGGGTTTAACAAACAACAACCATAGCAGAAAGATTTCTCTCTGTTGGCTGTGGTTGAAGGTCCTTGTCTCTTTTTCAGCTTCTGTTTCTTGGTTCCCTGGAGACCTAATGTAGAGTCTATCTTCCCCCAATTGCACTTGCTTCATCTGCTCTTATGTATCTCAAATGAGATTAATTTAAGATATGTTGTTGTTAACTGCCATCGAGTCAGTTCAGACTCATAACAACCCTATTCAGGATTTCCGAGAAGCAGCTGGTGGGTCTGAACTGAGGAACTTGTGGTTCACAGTCCAATGCTGATCCTACAGCGCCATAACAGAAGTTTAATTTAAGATACACCCTAGGAGCTGTAGGATCAGCACTGGACTACTGATTGATGGTTCTAAC